ATTGAATCTCTTGTGCTTCAAATTAGGTTAAAATACTTGTACCTCTCAGAGTGTGGATCTTTACATATGCAAATGCGGGAATACCGAATTGTCTGCCTTCATTTCCATAATGTGAATCATGAATAGGCCTTAGATTTGCTTGGTTGATTTCCAGCTATGCTCAGAAACAAAATCCATATTTGGCACCGCAAAAAGGAACAAAGATTAGAGTTTTTTGAAGGAATGCTAGATTACGCACCCTCATACTGTATTAGACCCAGTGTATGCACAAAAACATACACTTTTCATAGAGCAGCGTGTTGTGAAAGAGTCCTACATCACGGATTACTTTACCATGACTCCTTTGATGAAAATGTATTGCTTTAACCTTGGAAACATGGCACGGCAGTCGATATGGTTTGAGAGACTTGGAAATACTCGTGCCTGTGGATTCAACAGACTAAAGACGCTCTTCGACTGATGAAACAATAGCAGGAGGAGGAGGGGAAACATTCTTCTGCCGAGTCGGCATTATTGGATTTGGATTGTAACATAGTAAGTCAGGCTGAGAGGGGGCCTGTGAATATCACGTTGGAATCATAATAGACAAGGGCCGATTGTTATTGCACCACACTTCCATTAATAATTCAATCATTTGACCCGTGACATGATTTCCCGTAAAACAATCTGATCCTCTGAGGGCTGATGGAGATATTCGAAATCTATGAGTGTGTGTGTGTGTGTGTCTGTTTTTGACCTTCCCAGTATGACACAGAACTGATGCCCGGGGCGGCCACTCTTAGTCTAAAATTCAGAGGGAAGAAAAGACAAGATACCAGAAAGTGTGCACGCCAACTAAAGTGTGCTGCAGCATTCCCCCCCCCCGAACTAGATATGTGCCCGCCCCAAGGGTGCGCCAATAAGCACGCCACAGGAATGGAGGGTCTCGCACGAAGCGTGCACTTAAAACTGAGCAGCGCTCTGAAAGTTAAGCGCGAAATCAGAACAACGTATGCAGAGTGCATTAGATATAAAAACACTGCGTGTGAGTAAGTAGAAGCAAAGCCCGGTAATATCATAACACATTGTTTCAGCGATTACTACTGACAGGGGAAACGTTGCTGTTCTAAGTCAGGCTTGCTGCAAACACAAAGACTAACACAGGTGCAGACGTAGATGAATGTAGGGATGTAAAAGCACACACAACTGTGTGCACGCCCACAACATAACAACACTGGAGCATGCACGCGCAAGAAAAAAGCAGGGGTACCATCTATCAGGCTGCAGACGGGAGCCTTGGAAGGGGAAATCTGTCCTGTGATGGCCCTAAATGAGGGCTTTGGCGGCGCTGTCACATTGTATTTGGCTGGGACATAGGCGGTATGAGGGCCTACAAGAGATGGCCTGTGTGTACAGATATAATGAACTTGGGAGGTGTGTGGAGCATGGGCAGGCAGTGTGATTCTGTCACAGCTAGCGGTGCTCCGTGCCTGCTGTGAGGATGGAGGGAGGGAGAGATAGAGAGAGCGGCGGAGAGAGACGAGACGTAAATTGAGTGCGGAGAGGGAAAGAGTGAGGAAGAGGCGAAAGCAATCATCAAGACAGAAAAAAACATCAGAATGAGAGATGGAGAGGGGCCGGGAATGAATAAGCAGCCCTGCAGAAAAACACAGAGCTAATCGCTGCCGGATTGGTGAGGCAATACCGCTGTTATACCAGAAGAATATTTGCTCTAATTAGAGCCAGCTAATGTGTCTCCAGGTATAAAAGCTGTTGGCGTTTTCCTGAGAATAATGAGAAACACAAAGCTCGTAGTGTCCTGGAGAGAGGTGCAAAACTCCCTTTGTACATCATTAACAGTTCACTGACAACAAAAGTGGTCTTAATAGAATGTAATGTGGTCTCCTCACCTATCTGTTTGTTCAAATGTCCATTAGGGGAATGCAGAATAATTCTCTCCTTCTGTGCTTCAACCACAACCCATTTTATTTCCAAAGTTCTGCCTCCATTTGCTTCTCTCACCTCTGTCCTCCACATTAAGATGATAAACATGATTTCACGGAGCACTACAATCATCAGTCTTTGTAAAACACGCCAAAATCCTCGATAAAAGAATTAAGCTCGCTTTGGAGAGACTGGGCCAAACGTATAGATTTACAATTCCACACTCAAGTTCCCCGCCATGTTTTAATGCATCATAAACACTTGGTGTTTTTTGGTCTCCATTCCAATAAAAACAGGAGTGCGCGGGGGTGTAATATCTGGAGCTGGGGGAAATTAAAGCCGAAGTTCCTCTCGTCTCCTCCTCCGGTGCAACTCCCAGCTCGCGCGCTCGCACTTGAGCACGCGCGCACGCAAACACGTACGCACGGCTAATCAGCAGCCCGGAGAGAAATCTAAGACCACATCTACACCCAGTGGAGGAACCTGATACAACCACGTCGCCTCCTCCCCCCTGCAGCCCCCCTCCGCCACCTTCCCACATACCCGTCTTTCTTTTAATCATCAGCTCACACACACTAAACGCTCCCGCTGATAAATTAGACGCGAGGTTCAGTATGATTAACTAAAGTTAATGAAGACTGAAAGCGATCGCAGGCGATGTAACCATAGAAGGGAGAAGCATTTGAGAAAACATCAAGACTACATTAGAAAACCAGCAGACATTCTTTTTTCCCCATTTCTGCTGCTATTTCCAAAAGTCCTTTCAGTGCGCGGTGACAAACATAACCCTTCTGACTGCTGGAAAAATAAATCATACTTTCAAGTGAAGACAAATGCCTTATCCGTTGGGAGTAGCTGCAGGCTATAGTCATAATGGCCTTTCTCTCTCTCTCTCTCGCTTCCCTCTTCTCTGAAGGCAGGGAGTTTCCCTGAACTAGTTTGAAATGTCCACAAAAACCAGCGTTACGCAGCATAAAGCAAGTTTAGGGCTGATCGGTAGCAGGAATGTTGCTCTTTAAGACTTATTTTACGATGAACCGCGTGATGGTGAGAAGCACTTATGGTCCTGGAAGCAAAACTGCTATTCAGCCTTTTTTTTTCCCCCCTTCTCTTCTTTTTTGACCAAACAGCAAAAACGCTCATCGCTGACATCTTTAACCGATAAAACACGCTTACGCTCAAGATCATTACTCATCATGTCTGATGTGGTGTCACAGTCTCAAAATTCGTGGATTTCCTATCACTGCAACCCCCCTCTACACCCTCTCTGTACGTTTGGCCCTGCTCAGGCTTGGCTCGGCTCGGGGCAGACCAGCTGCAGAAGTCTGTCTCCTCTCCTCTCTCCCCTCCTCTGCTCTCAGTGCTATCAGGTTGCCACTCCTCCTCCTCCAGCCCATTACACAGGCCTCTTTATGCTGCGCTAAAAGCTGCTCATGTTCAAACACTCCTGGGAAAAGCTCCTTAAAAACATGTCAGGATGAGAGGCCCTGTCTGGTAAAATATTAATAGGAAGTTAATTGGTTGTTAATGGACTGGTGCTTGGGTAGGAATCACCCTCCATTAGATAGGCCACTGAAACACCCCATTCAGGGGTGTCATCTTACCACCTCCACCATCTAATTGGTTTCCGGTCACCGTAGCAGTTGAGTTGCGGTAACCTGGTGTTAAAGACATTATCGCTTGAGTTTTATATAAGCTCTGGCAAAGAAAGTATTGTACCAAGCGCAAAGCGCGTTTCCCCACCACTCTGGTATTGTGGGTGTTCAGTTACTTTGGGGTCAAGCTCGGCGCGCCCTTTCTCTTTTAATTGGGCGCCCTTTTTGTCTTTCCTCGTGTTAATCTTTCCTTCTTCTACACATAAGGAAATAGTTTTAACTTTTGTTGTTTGTGGTCAGAGTCACTGCGCTTTCTGTGGTCGTCCTTACCCGAAAGGGAAAAAAAAATCCCCTCCTCTCTCAGAGCAGACATGTAATATTGATGCGGAACAGACTCGGAGAAACACAAAAAATCAAATGGAATCCAAACTAAGTTCAAATGTCGACTTCAGCGCATACATTTTTGATCATTGCAAACCTACCAGATGCAATTCCCTTCAAGGGAAGCCACAGGGGCACGCCGAGCAAGGGACGTATTTAGAAATAAGTGATATTTCAGCGTGTCTTTCAATCCCGACTTCGTTCAGCTCCGATTCATTTATGAGAGGGACAAATACTTGCTGAAAGAGGTGGTTCAGGAAATGGGACTAAAAATGGCGGCAGAGGTTACCCAGACAGCTCGTTTTTATGGATGAGGCTTTCAAATGTACCACGTAACTAAAATGAGCCAGCTCTTAAAGTAATCTCATTGTTTATCTAGACTTACAGACGTTATGTAAATGCTTTATATATACTGTTTATAGTGTCTCATACCTGAGTCTTTCTCTGGAAAAGGAAAGAAAAACATTTTTTAAATCAGTTATTTCAACATCACAGCCTGGTTAAATGTGAGGCTCCTACACTCAACATTTATATTAAGTTTTTCAATTCTGAATCATGCTTTTCATGCAGCCTTTACTTGCTGTTACTCTTTAATGCACTCAAGTCCACTCTCGTGCCTCGGTCTATTTAATGGTAACCTCACTCAAACATTGAGTGAACCCGTGTCCAATTACATTACAAAGCAAATGTCAATGGATCCAACAGATGTTGTGCTACTACACAACTTCCAAGTTTCATTTCACTGGTGCAGGTTATCGCAGCCGCCACTAGATGGTAGCGAAAGGCTGGAGTTACTGATTGGCAGACAGGCTCAACTGATGAAAGAAATCCTCCAGGCCTGCTATTAAATATCCAGCTCTGTGCCGTGTTCTGCTGTAATGTATTACTTGACTGGATGGAGAATGTGTGATAATCCCGACTGTGGGTAATGCAGTAGTAGAAATGTCTGCCTGATGTTTCGTTCGCCCTGCTCAGCCAGTTAAACTCCTCGCGGGCTTGAATTGAATGAGGCGGAGGGGAAAAACTGGAATATTCACCCGTATAATTATCAAGACAATGAGATTAGCAAAAAAGAAAAACCCAGCAGGTATGCACTCAGACTTTGGCTTTATTTTGTTTTATTACATGTCAAGCTGTAAATGTTGCAACAATAGAGCGGGTTCTTGGCTGGACCTTTAGCAAAAACTGTCATAAGCTACGAGGATTACATGGTAATACACAACAAAACATTTGCAAAGAACACTTTAGGAAACTGTAGAAAAGTTACAACAGTATGAAACGTCCACTGTGGAAAAACTTTACTTTAATAATATTTGGCACTGAAAAACCTTTTTTTTTTTCCTGATAAAAAAAAATAAAATAAAGTCACCCGTGGTGTTTCTCGACTAATGGAGTCATTTTGTCCAATTACGTCCTTCACTGTGACTGCTGTGACCTTTTTGGCATCAAAAATGGATAAATATACATTTGAAATTGGTGGCGCTCCAGTCGCACCTTGAAAGTGCTTTCATTTTGACAAAACAGAAATCTAGTAATAGTCCGATATTTTTTTAATAGATGATGACAGCTGTCAAAAAAATGTTTTTATATGCCTCCGGGCCAGATAGCTTTGCTTCCAAGCATGAACGTCACAACCGCTTATTAACTGTCAGTCACTGATTTATTATTTTTTTTCCTTTTTTCATCTCAGGTGCACACAGTAACATTCATTGTGAAAAATAGCTAGTTCAAAATGTCATGCTAATGCACACAGACAAGCTACCGGGATGTGCTGCCTTCAAACTTGGCCCCCTGCACCGCACGCCCCAGAAGAGTTTGTGATTATCCACATGAAGAGCCGAAGAAGTTCACATGCCATGAGGTTCACCATTAGTATGTGGACAGAAATGCATGCAAGTATTTTAATCAGCCCCCGAAAAGCATTTGTGTATGTGCGGGATACATTCAAACAGGCAATAAGAAGAAGAAGTGAGAAGATGAAATCAAACTACATTAGACTGGAAGAATGTGCTGTCTGCCCTTCTGTTAACATCTGCTTACACCTTGACTGCACCCTACTCTCAGGACAGAAGTGTAAAAATCATTGAGAACTCTTTCCGGTCGGTGTGGCTGATGAAAAGACAGTTTTGGAGACTCTCACTCACTAGGCCGCGTTGTGGAAAAGGATGGGCTTGACCATCCCAGAGAGGATTTTGGGCACGTGGACGCTCACAATCTCCGAGATCATCTCTGGGAAGCTGACGTGCATTTGCATGGACTGAGCTTGGATGAACAGATCGTAGGTGAACTGGTGTAATTTCCTCACAACCTATGTCAAGAGACAAACATGATACATACATGTGTTGGGGTTATTAGAAACAAAGAGATAAATAAATATGTAATGTGGAAAACATGTAGATGCTGTCTATTGTCCCTGTATAATAAAGACTAAAAATGCCCAAATAATAATACGAATGAACAAAAACAAACGAGACTTTCATGGCACAGCTTAAGAGGCGGTTTTAGGAGATAACACTTATTGTGACACTAAGCTCCACAGACAGGGCAAAGCTGAAGGAGTCCTCATCAACTCTGATCTTCTTCCTAAAGGGCCCTTCCAGACAATCTCTGGCTGCCCTCCAGCTCAAAAGCCACAAAGCCGAGCATTTAAAGGTAAATCCACAGTGAAAGACAGGAGGCTCAATCTGTTGTGGCTCCTCTCCACATAGCGCTTTAACTCTTCTGGTCATACTCATATAATGATGTAAGGGGTTTTTCCTTTGATAGCTAATTGTTCTCATCATTGAGATAAAAGTACAAAAAGAAAAAAAAAATCCTAAAAAGGGTTAAAAGTAGTGCATTTACACCCCCTAGTGGTTGCACATCTACATCAACACACTTCCCCCTCCTAAACCTCAGTAAGGATGAGATGAGTGATTAGTGTGTATTACAACAACAAAAGAAAGTTCACCAAATAAAAAGAAAATAAAAATGCAAGAAATGCACATCGAGAAGTCGTAACAGGAAAACTACATGTGTTTTTAAGTAGATACACCTGCGTACCTACAATACCACGTCAGTCTTTTACGGCTTAGAGGTAAAAAGGAAAAAATATTATTAACAAAATAAACAGAATATAAATCTAGAAACATTAAATACACTGATGGCTATCAGCGTGTGTCTTATTTAGGGTGAATTTAAACTAAATTAAAGACCTTTTATTACTCATTCAAATCTACCTCAAATGCCTGGACTTGGACTTTTATGCCTTTTTTTTGGTTCATAATCTTTCCATTTTCTTTTTTTACTGAAGGTCACAGCACAACTTGACCTTTCTATATTTTGTTAAAATATAATAAAAAAGCGCTTTTAAAAAATCTTTTCAGGTGTTGCTGATTTTGCTGGTATTGGGTATATATGTGCACAAATGTTTGACAGAAATAACAATGAAACTCGTTAATCAACCTTCTGCATGGCCGCGCATATGAAGGCAAATCTTATGAACCTGCTTTTTTATTGCTTATGCATTTGTTCCGAGGTTTAACACTACTCTTATGACATCAAGTCAAAATTATGGCCACAGATTAAAGTGTTGTGTGTGTGAATAGGTACATGTGGCTTGTAGTGAAAAGTGTTTTGAGTGAGAGTAGAAAAAGCAGTCAGATGCAGTCAAATTCAGTCAGAAGTTGGAAGTAAGGAAGTACAAATACTTTTTATACTTAATACTTTTTCTAGCAACTTTTTACTTTTACTCACTAGATTTTTAAACAAATATCTGAACTTTCTACTCCTTACATTTTCAAAACAGGCTCGTTACTTTTGTTTTAAAATGATCATTTATAGCATTTACACTCGGGGTTAAAGTGGACCGATAGAAGTGCAGGTTCACGGTACACGGTACAGCATCTAGCTAGCGCTGCAGAGGAGGACAAAGCAGGAAGGAAGTGACATGTTTTTTGGTTTTCTGGTGGTTAAAAGGTGGTAATTTCAAATTCAACGTTTCTATCAGCTAAGATAAGAAAGACAAGACAGGAAGAAGAGAGGTTTGAAGGTAAGGACTGCTCAGTAATACTTGATAAACTGCAAATTTAAAGCTTCACTTTAAACACATATTGGATTTGCATATGATATGTTTTGATAAATTATGTGTTTTCATGTTGTGAAATGTCCTGCAACACAAACTAAGCTAAACTCATTTTGTGTTGCATGAAAATATTAGGTAGTTTCGACTTTTAATTCCCTTTCACTGCACAACAGATTGAAACTGAGTGGATTTCTTAAAGTTAGACTCTAGATTCAATAGCATTGGTATTCTCATGTACTAACATTATTTTATTATATTATTATAGTGCAAAGTTCAGTTGCCTTTGTCCAAAAATGCTTTTTCACATTTACTTGAGTAAAGTTGTTTCAGTGCTTCAACTTTTACTGTTTTTTTAACAAATGTATCTGTGCTTCTACTTAAGTAAAGAAAGTCTGTACTTTTTCCACCTCTGTATTCAGTCATGTGAAAACAGCCCATAATTTGGTAGCTTGTAAAACCACATTAAGCAGCAATAACTCAAAATAATAATTTTCTGTATGACCTTTATCAGCCTCTCACATAATTCTGGAGGAATTTTGGCCCTGTGTTCTTTGCAGCATTGCTTCAGTTCTTTGAGGTTTGCAGGCAATTGTTTAAGCACAGCTTGCTTAGGTCCTGCCACACCATCTCTGTCAGGTTAAGGTCTATACTTTGGCTGGGCCTTTGCAACACCTTGATTATTTTCTTTGTTAGCCATTCTGTTAGAGATTTGTTGCGGTGCTTGACTCTAGAAACCTTTGGTATACTGAAGAGTTCATGTTGAACTCAATCACTGCAATGTGTCCAGGTCCTCCGGCTGCAAAATTATGCATTATGACCAAACATCTCCAGTTGAATTTTTTTGACGTTGAAAACATTGTTTCTCAAAATCTCCAGAAGCAAAATATTCAGTTGCACCTTTTCGAATTAAGTTATCCTGCCATGTTCTTTTTAGAGAGAAGACTTTCTCCTGGCACCCCTTCCAAACAAGCTATACCTTTTCAGTCTTTCTCTAATTGTGCTGCCATGAACTTTAACATTTAACATTCTCACTGAGGTTTGAAAATTTGCTGGGACGTCCACTCCTGGGAAGACTGTGGCATTGTGTTAACACACATGAACGCTTTCACAGAGCTACTCACAAAGCAGTAAAGGCCTCTTTAAACTTTATTTTTCACATGACTGTAATTAGCAGTTCATTTACTGTGTCTGGGTTATTCTTCAGTCCATATAAATCATCTACAAATGGAAATCATCTTATTGGCTTTAATACAGCAGCATCTGGCACCACTATTCTTTTATAATTGTTAATTATCATGGTAGGCTGTTATGGATTAGGCGTTTCAAGGAAGCAAATCTCAAATCCAGGTTATCATATAATCCGAAACACAGATACACAGTAGCTAAAAGAGAATAAAAAAATAACAGGCTTAAACCTGTGGAGAAAACAAGGGCTTAGATATTAAATGCAATGTCTGACAGACTCGGTTGAATGAATCCAGCCGTGAAATTTTAAAACAATAAAAATCTTGCTTGTGTGTTCATAATAAGTTTACAGTTGTATTGCAAGCCTGTATAGTGTTGTGTCTGTCATTTTGTGCGAGAGGAAGGAGCATTATTTTAAGATAAGATAAGATAAGATAAGATAGAACTTTATTAATCCCTCGGGTGGGTTCCTCTGGGAAATTCGATTTCCAAAAAGCATGGCACCGACAGAAGTTACAGTTACAGAATATTATATATATATATATACACACACACACATACACACACATATATAAATACAGAGACAAATATAAATAAAATATACGAAGGGGATAAATAGGAATAAAAATAAAAATACAAGTGATTTGCGCTCACTCTAAAAAAATGACATGTGCATCCATGTCCAGTGTCACAGCATGGTGCATTTTTTGGAATGCGGTTGTGTGTATTACCGACTGGAGGTAGTCCAGCAGCTGCGTGAGCTGAAACAGTCTCTGCGTGCGGGTGGTCTCTCCGTGGTGGCTGGCCAAACGGTCTAGCTCCTTGATGTAGGAGGTCCGCAGTTTGTCAAAACAACTCTGGCTCTTCAGGCCCTGCACTGGCACTGTGACCACAAAGCCAGAACACAACAGTAACTCTCACAGACTTTATCCAGCCCATCAATTCTCTAAAGTATGGCTGTACTCTATTGCAGTTGTATTTCACATGTTGAGTTGACATTCGCGTCATTACTCATGGTCCCGGGTGACTCACTGATGCTGAGGAGGACCAGGGCCTTCATGCAGAGGAACTCCTCCTGGGTAACCTTGAGCATGCACAGCCTTTGGGATAGTAGCTTCATCCTCACACAGTGTTCATACATGCTGGACACTTGCATCCGCTGGCTGTGAGGAGGGATAAAAAAGAAAAAAGGGGGAAAAAAGCGTGACGCAGGAGGAGGGTCACGTAGTGAGAAATGTAGAAAGGAGTAGTTATTGGGGACATGAAGGGGAAAAAAGGAGAGAAAAAAGGCACCAGAGGTGAGAAAAAACGAGTTAGATGGATAATGGAAAATAGAGAACGACAGTGAGGCACTGAAAAATGAGGGTCAGCAACAAGGGCATGCGTATCCATTACTATGCAGGTCAGAAGCAGCCTAATAGAGTGACATGGGTGTAACACAGACAGAATGAGTGCTAACGTCACGCAAAACACTGACCAATTCAGAGCTGCCATGAGAGTTGGCGAACATCGTCATACCTTCTTTGTTCTTGACACAACAATTTACTGATAACAGCCTGGGGGGGGGGGACTCATGTGCAGTGATTTTTGTGACACAAACTCTGTTGTCTGGGTTTCTTTTGGGAGTAGAAAGAAAAAGACACGGCTGGAGTTGAGGTGTCAGAAACATTTTGATAAGGGGCCGAGGGGGTGAGGTTGGAGTGTAAATTAAAACTTGTCAGAGTGGAAGTTCTTGGACACTGATGAATGGTTATGCGATGATGAAAAAGAGCAAAGCATTTGAGACGATTCCCTCCGCCAGCCGCATTTATCAAATGCAAAGTGATGGGTTTGCTGGTGTGCCCGGAGAGACATTCGCTGTTTGTTTTCCTCCTGCCGAAAAACACCAGAAAAGTGTCGCACCGTGCCTTTCATCGCATTTCACGATGACAAGTGAAGTCTCGTGGCATCGCAGCAAACCCCATGCCACAGTGATAATTTCGCGTTTCTTAGTTTGATAAAGATTTTGTGTCTCCTTTTTTGTGAATTCGTTGTTTGATGTTAAATTGAATATTTGCTGAAACTCACTCATTGAAAACCAGGTCTGGAGCAAAGTACAGCATAGAGCTGTTAGTCAGCGTGTAGGATCTCCAGCCTAAGGCAAACACCATCACCCCCATCCATGACAGCTGAATCAGTGACATCTGGTCATCCACATACAGGTCCCGAAACCCTGTTAACAAAAGTCGCTGTTATCAAGCTCTCCTCAGGGTTAAGCATTCACAGTTTTATTATTTTTAAAAAAAATCAGCTGATTTGGCTTAAGTAAATAACTGTTGAGGCAAACATGGATACAATGATGGCCATTCTCAGCCTTCCTCTATTTTATCTTTTTTGTTTAAATGGGAAACATCCCCCTCTAGTGGCTAATATTTGAACAACTTTGTTTGTTTTGCATGGACAATAAACCAGCGCAAACTTCTGGAAAGGTATCTCATCTTTTGACCTAGATACTGAGGCCTTGCGCAGTGCTGGCAGATTAAATACATTTCCTAACAGTGGTACTGCTCATCCAAACCGCAGGGAATTCTAATGTCATTTTTGATTGAATTACGCTTATTTCTTCTCAAACTGCCCATTTACCATCCACTGTCTTAGTCAAAGTTGTTTACAAGTCTGATCTTTCAGGGTTTTGCTTAACAAGGAATGCAAGTGGTATGTTTGACTAGAAACCAAAACAGAAGCAGCCATGGAAATGTGCTCCCTACCAGATTCTCTGGAAGAGCTACTTGGAATTAATTACCTTGGCTCAGATTAGTTTACCTGGTATTGCCTTGGCCCAGTGGACCACGGTTACCAGCTGCCGTTCTCCCAGCTCGTTCAGGCTGGTGAGCAAGGACACGGGGCTGTCTGGCTGGGCAGGATCATGCCCGGCATTGACCAGTGCTGGCTCAATAGCCTGTAGGATGCTGAGCAGCGACAGGCAGGAGTGCAGGGGTGGGGGGATGGCCGCAACCAGGGCCTGGGAAGCTGCTCGAGATATGTAGATATGTAAAAACAACATGAAGCAGAAAGTGTGGCAAGATCGAGTCTTTTCTGGCAAAAGTAAATTTAGCGTTGAATAAACGTGACATTTGAGCTCTGTGCAACTAATCCTTACCACCTTGAGCCCTGACAGCTGCATTTCTGGACTCCAAGACTGCATCTTTCTTCGCTGCCCTCTCTTCTTTTTCTCCGTGTCCCCAGCTAGCTGGCTGTTGCTCCTCTTCTCCATTACTCGCCTGCCCGGTTCCCTTCAGCCTGCGACCTAGAGAGATGATTCTGTTAGAATTCAGATGGAGGGCTTCTAATCTAATAAATGTAAGGAATCTGACCATGCTGACCTATTTTTTTAAAACTGCAAAATACTTTCCTTTATTTATGTCTCATTATTTCCTCGTCTCTGGTAGCTCACCTTTAAGGCTCATTCCCGACATGAAGCATCTCTTTAAGCGACACGACGCGCAGTTCTTCCGCCTCAGTTTGTCGATGGTGCAGTCGTTTCGGCTGGCACACAAGTGGTTCTGCTTACCTGGAGGCACACAAGAGTGCTGGGGGATGAGGAGTGCGAGTTCAACAATGCCTAGGCTTCCACTCATAGCAACGATATGTGGGCGTTTACTGATAACAAATAACTCGACCTCATAATGTCAGGGTCACTGTGCCCTGTCTACAGGAGAGAGGAAGTGGGTGTAAGAAATTAAAATCAGTGCGTGAGTAATTGTGTGTGTGTGTGTGTGTGTGTGTGTGTGTGTGTGTGTGTGTGTGTGTGTGTTGCACCCACCTGCAGCGGCCCTCTTGAAGAATACTTTGCAGCTGCCGCAGGTGACTGCTCCATAGTGACAACCCGAGGCGTCATCTCCGCACACTTGACACACTCTCCTTTCTGACAGATACACACCTGGAAAAAAATCCTCATGCCTGGGCGCGCGCGCACGCACACATACACACACACACACACACACACACACACACACACGCGCGCGCGCGCGCACGCACGCAATGGTGTTGTTTTAGTGTCTTCCCTCAGTTTTTAAACCCTTTTACCGTAAAAACTGAGGGAAGACACTGATGAAGAATTGCAGCAGACATTAAAAAGCACTCACACAGACGCTATCGGTTTTGGGTTAGTAGGTCTGCCTTCACTGAGCCTTATCGTGCCAATTCCCTAAAATCCAATCAAATTAAAATTTTTTCCATCATGTGGTTGACAATTTGTCAGCAAAGGGAGTCAGTTTGCTCCAAAGTAAAAGTTGTGATTAGCACATGCCAGAGTGAAGTTTTTTTTTAATGAATCCGTAACTTGTAATAAAATAGAAGGTTTTCTTTCTAGAAGCAGAAACAGCAACAGGTGCTGTATCTCTTCTTTATAGGGACACTGATACATTTCCTACTGCTGCAGTCCCAGGGCTTATAAGGACATTTCTGGAAAATCTTAAGAATAGGATAAACTTTAAGTTGCTGTAGCTGCATGCTATAACATGATTTAGAGAAAGCCAAAACAAACAAAAAAAAAAAACCCACACCATGCTGTTGGAGGACAAAGGGTTCAGTGCTGCTGAACATTTCAGGACTCCACAGAGTATCAATAGAAGTCATGGCTGATAGCGATATATAACAATCGTGTTCGCTGCCTTTGATTTATTTGTGCTGACACTCATCCAATTAGCTTATGCTTTGTGGCTCTCACAGAAACGTCAAGAAACTAAGCATGAAATCCGGAAAGACAGTGCACCGTTAAACATCTGCGAACTTACGCCTAAACTCATTACAGCACTCCTTTTAGAAGACAAAATGACCAAAGCCCGACTGCATTGAGCGCAGTTACTGGCACGATGCTCATGCTGTGTGTTTCTCATTAAAGAAACGTGTGAGAGATGGGAGGGATCGGTAATACTGAATGTACTGTACTCAGTATGAATGGGCTTTTGACCTGACGCACACAAAACAAATCATTCGAATCTGATCTTTACCTTAAACTGCGATCTGTGCAATTCATCCACACCGAAGGCTCGCTCTTGATAGTGGAGAAAGTGCTTTGCCCCTGAGGAATCGCACTTGGGTAACTTTCCATTTGGCCATATCCTTGTGCCGTCGCTCGCATGCCACCTTTGCCACCCTTCTCACCTCTACCGTACCAGATACAGCGGCATTCCTGCCTGTTTCCGCGAGGAGCTTGCCCACAATTACAGTATTTGCACAAAAAATTATGTTCCCCTGATTCTCCCCTCTGTGGCTGTGGCTGTGGCTGAGGCTGGGATCGGTCGATGTATGCGCGCTCATTTGCGCACCACATTTGCGGTGGGAAATCCCTATATAGGTCTGAACTGGCATAGTAAGACGAAGGTGGTTTTAAGGGTACGACCTCGGCCACCTGAGGGGTCGCGGGCAGCTCCAGCGTGGGGTTCATAAACACATTTGACTCCCTGCAGACGTATCTGGATATCACCGAGCCACGCGTCACAGTTTGCGCACCGTCCATTTCGCCCGATCCGAACAGATCCATACAGCTCACCTGCTGTATGCCCTGGCACACTTCTCCAAAGTCGTCCTCTCTAAGGCTGCTGTCACCCAGGACAAGCAGGCTGCTGTCGGAGTTCATATTTCCAGTCCTTCTCAACTCTGGCACTCCCCGAGAAGTATCCGCCACAGTGGAGTCGCATTCTGCGAAGGCGCTGCTGGAGCTCTGGTTCATATTATTGGGCGGAGAAGACACCGAATCCAAACCCAAAGACACCGACACCGCTTTACTGAGCTCATAAGCCGGACACGCATAGATGGTGGTATCCAACCGATCCCCTTCATTCATCGTTAAAGAGTTTGTTCCTTCCAAAACCGAGTGAAAGGACATTTTCGGCTCCGGTTCTCGGAGTTAGAGTGCACTGGGTGCGCGGCGAGCAAACAAAACAACACTTTCCAGGCTAGAAAACGCCTACCCAGTGACACTACTCTCGTGCGTCTAAGCGGATGGGAAATGCACATCAGTCGTCGACGTAAGTTACGAAGGGGAAGGGACGTCCCGCCGGTATGATTTACAAATGACGGGGGCTTTTCGACACTTTTATAGTAACTTTCTTTTTTTTTTTTCAACGCAGGATTAAAATTCACCTCACGAATTACCAAAAACCAAAAACAAAGAAAGAGAAACACCAGCATAGTGAGAATTGGTTTTCGCACAGACTCTTCTTTATACAGTGATTAATGAACCCAGTGTAGGTTAACTTTTAGCAATTTTAAAACCCAGCTGCGTGCCTCTCACTATTTTACGTGCAAATCTAATGGCGTCTCAAGAGCATAGCCGCGATTAATCATTACATGTATTAGTACGTTTCATGTGTAGCTCAGGCTCAGCGTCGGGTTTCTCTGCAAGCACTCTGTGCAGTAGTTTGTTTTCCTACTTAGAGTTATATAAGCTTGCTTGTGTTTGTCGGTCTGATTCACACAGAGAATCAGGTTAACAACAAACCAGAATGCACAATCATTGATGTGTTTAAACCATATTAAAATAACAACTAAAAAGAATGGGGTGGTCAGTGGAGGCTCTGATAGGTAGTCACGCAGTGCTTTCAACTATTTATTTTTGGATAGCTTGTGATGACTCAGCACACGACAGGAACTGGGGACTGCAAATTAATTTTACCCAGTATATAGAAAAGGTCTGGATTGGGTTGGGGCGTTTGTGGAAAGCTTCCTTTTTGGATTGCAGGAGGAGAAGAAGTTAGGCAGACCCTTTTTTTAATGGGGTGACACAAGAGGGAGTGAGTGGCGCACACTCACATTCAGGGTGGGCACATGGGAAATGAGAAAATCCTATCAAAAATGTTGTGCTTTGCAGGACAAGACAAGATAATTTTGTCCGGTTTTAATCAGAAATATGGTTTATCGTACTGAGTTGGCGAAATAAAAAAAATCTGTGCACTCATCTTGTTTTAGGTTCCTCTTTGCAGAGTGAAAGACTTAATGAACACTGTAAGAAAAACCCTGTAAAATTTAGAGTAAAAATATTGGCAGCAGGGTTGCCTGCCCTGTAGTTTTTGTAAACGTTTTTTTTTACAGGATGATGCTGTATTTGTTTTACAGGACAATTATGTAAAAACCTAAAGATGCTGTTAAAATAAATATAATGAAAAGGTTTGGTATTACTTGCTGAGCACATCAACTTTTATTAATTTAACCATAAACTAAATTTCTGATTTGCAAAATTATGATTAATGCTGAAAGCTGACCTTATGTATCAGTGCCAACAGCTCCTCTGTATTCACTTATTATTACATCAGCAACAATCAAGCTAACCTTAACCTTGTTAGCAGACAATGAGCGGTGATATAACATTACTTTCAAAAATGTCGAATTTAAAGCTGCTAAACACAAAGAGTGAAATATTAAAATTAAGAAATGAATTAACTAAGTCACTTACCACCACTAGAAATCCCTCCACGCATTGCTGGAAATTCTCACGACTATTCTAAATCCCACAATGCATCTGTAAATATGGAATTTTACAGTAGCCTATACAAGCTCCCAGAATGCATTGCTGTTTACAGAATATTACTGTATTTTATGAAATACTGTAAAATTATGTTTTAAGATTTTTATTTTTACAGCAATTTGTTTTCATTTCTCATATCATAAAAATCAAAAATCATCAAATAAAGTTTGTTTTTTTTAATTTATAAATATGCTTACAAATGTGCATTTATACCAAAAAGGTTCATTTCTACCCTTGTTTTCATTGACAGGGCCAGTTGAATTTAAGCCCCCTTCAGCCACATCCCTGCTCCACAGTGGCAAGTTAACTTCGCCTATATCACATTATATTACACAAACATGCATTTAAAACTGATAACCAGCAGCAGATTTACTCATTAGACACCCAATATTGCTCATGTGGAAAATAATGCACCCAACCCACATCAGTTGTGTCTCTCTCTATTTTATTTTTTACTTCTATTTCCAAGATAAAGAAAAGATGATTTCACATTTTGCTAGAATAAAAACATTTGCCTTAAATGTCACTGCTTCAATTAATCAACATTAATAAGGTTTTCAATAGGACATATTGGAAGTGCAGTAGGATGTAATCAGACTGATAAGGGCAACAGCAAACCTGTTTATAAATGAGAAGTGGGAATGTGGGTGTGTGCAAAATTAAAAATGCATCTAGAAGAACAGCTGCTACATTCTCACTGACTTGCTTACTAAAGAAATCGTCAACATTGTCTATAATATAATTTGTTTTCGGGTTCACACTGTCATTCTTAAGCTAAATTTACGATTAATGTGATAATGTTTCCCCTACACTTCTAAAATCTCTGTGTGTGTCCAGCTCATCCGAACTTAGTCTCTCCTGCAGGCTGAGCCAGCCGACAGCACTCCCGCTCACATGGACTCAAACTCATCGATGCGTTGTTTAGTGTTGCCCTGACGAATCTGACGCAGGGTCTTGTATTTGTCACGGCCCGCCCTCACATTCTCAGCGTGGATCAGGTCATTGGGGGTCTTTTTGCTCTCGTCTACAGCTCGAGCCAGTTCGGTGCTCAGGAACTGGGGAAAAAAAAGAACACAAACACAAAGTGAATAAAATCCTCTTACCTCAAAGTACAAGACTGTTCACAAGCCTTACCCCTAGACTCCCCCTCAATCGCATCTAAAAAACACTCTATTGTGCCCAGTTATAAAGTCTATTTTTGTGTTGCGTTGTCTATGCAGCATCAATTCTCGTCACGTCTGTGAGATAGGGGCACAGACGGGATTTGCAACTTGAATAAAAACAAAAGAATGATAATGTACCGACCCACCAATGTTTAATTATGTAAAGTGCACTTAGCTCTGGTGAAACACAATTTGTGGCAGTAATTATGTGGCACGTCTTTACAGCAGAGTCAAAACCTCCATACAAATGTGTCAACAAAATGTACAGAAAATTTAACAAACTAATTTAAATGTTTGTGACAGCACAACAGGACAGCAGGAACTAAAGATGCGATTTTCAGACTGTAGGAAAGAACAATCAGCTGGTTGGCGGAATAGGTAAGAGTTCACAACTCCAAACGAGATTGCAATGGTTATTCAAAATGAACATGACGGCTAGGTGAAGAACAACAATCTACACTAGAGGATGAGGCTCACTGAGGATTGGCTTGATATCTATCGAAAAGCATAACTAAGAGAGAATTTGGGAGGGCAAGTGGAACATGGAAACGAGAAAAAAATGGCTGCGGCGGACAGTTATGCATTCGCTGCTGGAAAGGGTCGGTTTGAGGTGTGGTCCCACTGTTAAATGTCAAATAAATAATCTCTAAAAATGTAACTCAGCCACTTACTACAAAGTATGTAACATCAATACAAATTTAATAACAGATTAGAATTCGTTTTTTTTCTCGCAAAGTTAATAGTTGGAGCTGGATGGGTGTAGGCTCTGAGTTCCCATGATGCAATGAGTGTTTTTTCTTCACTCACCTTTTTTAACTCTCTGTGTGCTTTCACACCACTCTGCGTTTACTCATTAGTTATTATTAATCTCTGGCTCTCTTCCACATCTTGTCTTTGTGTTGTCCGCTACCCCTAACCAACAACTTGCAGCTGCAGATGGCCCCGCCTCTCCCAGAGCCTGGTTCTGCTGGAGGTTTCTTCCTCTTTAAAGGGAGTTTTTCCTTCCCACTGTCGCCAGGAGTTGTACGATTGATGGTGTTTTCTCTATTTTTTGTATTATTGCAGGGTCTTGACCTCACAATATAAAATTGTGATTTGGGTCAATATAAATAAACCTGTATTTATTATATTTTATTATATTCACCAAGTGGCACTTACAAGTTTGCAGTTTTTCTCAATCGCTTTCACACATTTCTTGAAACATGTTTGAAAATATTATAACTGATACACAAATTAGTTAAACTACAAAAGCCACAACTTGCTTAAAAGCTTATTTTCATGCTTCAGAATCCAAAGTTGTGTCAACAAATAGAGCAACAGGGCAAGTAACTTTAACATGACACCAAAGTGGTAAAACAATTGCTGATATTCTACGATAATGACAGTGTACTCCTATCCTTCCAGTCTTGTCCTACACTGACATTGAGCGCTGTGTATCAAAGGAAATACTGATGGTTTGAGATGCATATGATTTTACATTGTGTTTTGTAAAGCAAAGGAGCCCTTTGCATATAATGAGAGGAACAAAGTGTTTATTTTGGAGGCACACAATGCAATGGCCACTCAACATATTGCGATGCAGTAAAGAAAAAACATAAAAAAACAAAATAAAATGTGCAAAAAAAAGTGGACAGAACAAAAACATTTAAACTATTAAGACTAAAAAGCAAATAAATAATAATCGGCACACTCTGTGCTACACTACAGCCGCTTGTTTCGGTCACAGAGTCCCAGTGACCTGACCTCTAAAGCTGTCCATTGCAAGGTTATAGTTGGTTAAGTAGAAACTAAAACTAGATGTGAAAAATATTTGATGGAAGTTAGAATGAAAATAAAAACTAACAGAAGTTATTTTGTAAAACTTGTAAAATTAACTAAAATAAATGTATGTATTCAAAAATGTATGATTTTATTGCTATATCTTGCCTCTGCCTCATGCTTTTATAAAATAACTACAAAAGCTAAAAGTAACACTGAAACTAATTCAAACTAAACTTAAACTAAACATCCTGAAAGGTTGATTTTGTTCATCTGAACTTAACGTTTTCAGAGGGAGAAACGTTTCATCACTCGTCCAAGTGACTTCTTCAGTCTCAGCTGACTGCAGGTTTCTCCAGCCTTATAAACAGTACATTTGCACAATGACTGAAACTAGCACCGAATGAATGAACAATGAGGTCAGTTCCTTGATTATTAATATGCAAACTGTCATGTCCATTGATAAACAACATCAGATCAAAGCTGACTGATCATTGCTCATAAGCTGCCAAAAGTGAACACCCTTAATGTTCCTGTACGTGTCAGGAGTATCGAAACGGCTGAGATGCATTTTTTCTGAAAACAGCGTTTCCGTGGATTTTAAACCCCAAAACCTGCTCCACCAAAAACTGTTCCACCCCAAGGATCGGGTCCCCCGACACAAACAGAGTAACATAGTGTACGCTGTTAAGTGCCAGGAGGATTGCCAGGATTTATACATCGGAGAAACCAAACAACCTCTGGCGAAGCGGATGGCACAACACAGAAGAGCTACCTCGTCAGGCCAGGACTCTGCAGTCTATTTACACCTACAGGCCAGTGGACACTCTGAGCGTACACATCTTGGACAGGGAGGAACGCTGGTTTTAGCGCGGACTCAAGGAGGCCATTTATGTGAAAAGAGAAAGACCATCTCTGAATCGAGGAGGGGGCCTAAGGGTACATATTTCACCATTGTACAATGCTGTGACTGGAGCCATTCCCCATCTCTCTGTGAATGGATCTCATGGGTTTTGATTAGTGGGCTTTGATCAGTGACTGTTGATCAATGGTCATGACAATTTGCATATTAATAATCAAGGAGCTGACCTCACAGCCTGTTGCTCATTCAGTGGGCTGGTCACTCATTGTGCAAATGTACTGTTTATAAGATTGGGGAAACCTGCAATCAGCTGACTGAAGAAGTCACTTGCATGAGTGACGAAACGTTTCTCCCATTGAAAACACTACATCCAGATGAACACCACTAATCGTTAACTGTGTGGAGAGGGTGGCAGACTTTCGCTTCTTGGGGAGTTAATATAGAGGAGAACCCTTCCAGGAGTGTGAACACCTATGAGTTGCTGAAAAAGGCCCAGTACAGACTGCACTTCCTGAGAATTCTCAGAAGGAATTACATCAAACAGAGACTGCTGGTGTCCTTGTACAGAGCCTCCATCGAAAGCATACTAACCTACTGCATATGCACCTGGTACACTGGCTGCACAGTGGCTCAGAGAAAAGGACTCCAGAGGGTCATTAACACCGCCCAAAGGATCACTGGCTGCCCTCTCCCCACGTTGGAAGACCTACACAGCTGTCTATCTTAAAAAAAGCCCAGAACATTACAAGAGATGCTACTCACTACTCACTATGGCCACTTCCTGTTTGAACTGTTGCCCTCTGGCAGACAGTACAGAGCAATCAATGTAAGGACAGACAGACTCTCTTTAAGTTTTTTTTTATTTTTTATCTTTATTGTTTTTATTTAATTTTAATTTTATGGATGATGCACCGATCGGAGACCACTTTCATTGTACCTGTGACAATGACAATAAAGACATTCTATTCTATTCTATTCTATTCTATTCTATTCTATTCTATTCTATTCTATTCAGAATCAACCTTTTGGGATTTACTTACCTGGATGATTGAGCATCCATCAAGCCTAAAACTAAACATTTTCAACCTGGAAAAACTAACCTGAAACCCCTTGTGGAAACGAACTGAAACAAAACTGAACCAAAATAGAATGTCAAAACGAAATTATAAAAACTAATTAAAAACTACTAAACTGTAATAACTGCTCACATGCAGTCTAACAGGAGGATGGCCACCTGCATGTCTCTGCGTCTTCACTGTTGTCTTCCCCTTTCTTCACTGTCACACCCTTTTACTCCTCTTCCTTTTCTTTGGGCAATCTGTTTCCCTCCTAAAATCTTCATCTGAGCAGTCCGTGCATGGTCCCACACTGCGACCGTGCTCTCTGTTGTGCATATGCTCTGTAAATATGTTTACTTTGGGGCAGATTTTGACTGTTCAGTAGGACTGCTCTGAATGTGATGTCTAACACTGTGTACATACACCATTACATAATACCAGCATATTTGAGAGTAAAGACATTAAACTGAGAAAAAGTACATAATCTATTTCAATCACAAAGGTTTATACAACCGACAGTTTTTCACCCTGTAAACAATTACGCTGAGTCTTTTACTTAAATGTGCTAAAATTTGCAGACGGTAACAAAGAATGAGAAATGCTTTAGGTTGTGCAGAGGACAAAGGGCTTTGAAAGACTTCAAATCCTGTCGTGTCAACAAGAAAAACTGTAACATTTGGATTTACTAATTAATGCAAAAGGAATTAGAATTGATTGCATGTGTGTGTTTGTGTGAATTGTTCCCACATTGGTAGAATGGGCTCATTTTAATCCAGACTCATTTTGCAGGAACTGGCCATTTACTCATTGTCACATTAGTCTCAGTATTCAGCTTGAGTGGTTTCTAATTTACAGAATATTATTCAGAGAACCTAAAGCTTTTCAATTAAAAACAACAACAACAACAAAAATCGAGGGTATTTTGTGAATAATTTGTCCGCTCTCTTAAACAATCCATGACTGCTAACTTCTAGCTGAATAGGACCTCTGGCCAGACTAGGTGATGTGTTACCAGACAGACATTTGACTGTGTTCAGCTGACCTCACCTTTAGGTTTTTCTGTAGTCTCTGGTTCTTCTGGGCCTCTGTGACTCTTTCCTCCTCGCTGCGATCTCGGACCATCCCCGGAGAAGTCAGCTCAGCGCTCGCTTCTGCGCTGCTCTCATCCGTCTCATCGTGGTCGAGGATGTTAGAATGGACCGAATCCTGGATGTGGACACCCATGAGTTTAGTCTTCAGCTCTTCTTTTGTTTGCTCCAAATCAGCTTCTACCATCACTGCCTGTTGACAGACATGACTCGTACTGAAGTGCTGGGGTTGGATGTTACATTAAAAGTAACTGAGTATTATAATATAACTAACATGGGAGTCCCATTCTTAAAAAAGGCCTTATGGATGTACAATCACTGAAATAGCTGACCATGACATCTATTTATTATTTTGCTTGACATTTATGATTATTTTTATTAATGATATATAAGGGGGTAATGACTGATAATTGTTAATGCTTCAGATTCCCTCATCAAACGAAATTTTTTTTTTTTTTTTTAGAAAAAAGTCGCTAAGGGGTCTGAAAACTCGCTAAATATAGCGACAAAGTAGCTAAGTTGGCAACACTGATATCAACATATTTTTAGTATTAAGGCATGGGTGCTATGTGATAGTAGACTATGTGGACTCACAGCTAGTTTAAAAGGTTTTTCATAGAAGCTCTTAGGTGATCAAAGAAGCCAGACCTTAGCAGAATAAATAAAGAACTATGATGATGTACAGTTTATGGTTTGGATTATCTGTTTCATGTTTTCGTGTTTCATGCAATTACATTATAGTATTTGCAGTATAGCATTTATAGCTAGATAGAGAAATAGATAGATATACTGTATATGATAATGCAGTGATGTGGGTAACACTGTATTTGTCTTTTGTACTCAGGTCTGTTGACAGATATGTGTATAAGCTTGAAGCCCTTCTTGATTTCTCTCATGATTCTTTAATTTACCCTCACCCTTTTCTGCCATCTTTTCGACTCTTCATCCTTTTTCTTCTTTGCATCTTCCAGCTGAGAGATCTTAGAAGTAAGGTCTGCCAGCTCAGTGGCCTATACAACAATGGTTAGGAATGGACAGAGAGTTAGAAGCCCTCCTGGTATTAGGTCATTGTGCTCTTTTAGTGCAACGTGTAGGAGAGAACGTATGCTTGCATGCACTTTGCATTTAACTGAAATTGAAATTAAAAATCAGATTTTATAAAATAATCTCTTTCCTAGCTTCACGGATTGAATCTGTATGTAGGTTCGTCAATATATGATTCTGTGAATTTGACTGAAAATGAAGGCTGCTGTGTGCAGTTGTACCAGGTTTTCCTGATTTTTGATCTGGGTCTCAGAGTGGTGCAGCAGGGCTGCTTTAGCCTCTACTGCAGCTCTGCGGTCTTTGTCCAGGCGCTCAGCCTCCTCCAGAGCAATTTTTCTTTCCTTCTCTAACTCAAGCGCCCTACGAGTTTGCTCCTCCAGCTCTGAAACAAACGTGCACGTTCACACAGACACATCCAACACACATCCGTCCCAGCACACCCAAACATGCCCGTTTAAACTTTACAATCACGAAATATAAAGTGTTTAAATTCGCGCAGCCATGCTTCAGTGTTTTGTTTTTTTAACAGAAAAATAAAACCAAAGTTAAGAAATATTTGCATTCAGAAAGTCGTCAGACCATCTTGAGCTCGCTTTGTCTGTTCCTCAATCTGTCTCAATCTCTCCATCAGCTCCATGGTCTCCCGAGCAATCTTCTCTGTTTCCTTCTCAGCATTTTCTCGCTTTTTTTTCTCACTCTCGAGCAGAGCCCTGACAGGAGAATTGTGCATAAATACACATCCAAAGAAAAAAAAACATCATCTCCTGACAGTCCTTTCTTAAAGCAGAGAGAACACACTGTAAACTGTAAAAATAAACTTTCATTATTCACTCCCTGCCCCCCAAACACCACCACCACTTTCTTACCTCTCCATTTGTCGCTTGTTTTTCTCCTCACGAGCTTGGGCCTTCATCTGCTGCACCTCAATGGTGTCGGGCTTGCGTCTGCGCATGTACAGATCATGATTCCCCATGCACAATGCCAGGATGCGTTTGTTGATGCGAAGACGAGGTACATAGAAGACAAAGTCCTATACCAAACACAACGCAGCAATCGTTGAATGTCCAAGGATTGGTTTGTGATAGGCCCCTAGCACATCAAATCCATTTTACCATCAAGGATGGGTTTAAATATTCAAAAAGGATAGTTTTGTTTTTGAGGAAAGCATTAGTTTTTCTAAACTCTTGGGCACTTTCCAAGTCTCTGCATGCAGTCAGAAGGCAAATTGGACTGAGGGTCTAAACTCATGTTTGTAAATGAGATCAAGCAGAAGCTCATTACACTACTTGCTGTAATTTATGCGTTTGCAAAGATTTTTATTTTGGCAGTAATAAAAATATGGGATTCGCTCACACCTCCTGTTTACAGTCACAGCGAAATATCGTGAAAAAAGCCTATGTTTGAATACTAACATATTATGTACCCTCACTGGTACACAAGGAAAGACTATTTAATACCGTCCATGAGCATCTATGAAGTGAGTTACGATAAGCACACCATCAAGCTGAACAGAGAGGTTGTTGCCAGATTTTAGTTTAGCTTCATGGAAGGCGATGTTGCCACCGTTAACGATACCGTTTCGCATACCGGAGCTTTCCTGTCGATGGGCTTGATGACAAATTTCTTGTCGTTGAAGGAAATATTTCTGATCTCACTCCAGGGAAAGCCAATCTTTGGAGTCAGCCTGCAAAAAAAATGGTGTGTGGTTTTTCATTATACTGTGGTGTACAGGGAATGTAACAGATGTTAGCATGTTGAAAATACAAAACAGACGGAAACTGATTGCCTACTGATAGGAGCTCTGTGACTTTAGCACTAACATCAGCATGCAAATATCTTCACAATCACTTTAACATATTAGCATGATAGAATTTGATAATCAAACAAGAACCAAAATACATGGTAGAGCCTTTTTCAAGCACTTGATTATATGGATAGAAAAATCGACAAAAAGTAGCTCATTTCATTCAAATGAAAAAAAAAAAAATGGTGTCTCTAGAATAAAGAAAAGCAAAGTCATCTGGCCACCATGAATGCCAGTGGTTGTGATCCACCAGTGAACAGAAAGATTTACAGACTGTGACGTATGTAAATGTCTCAGAGGCATTCATCAATTATGACTCACTTGTCCTTTTTGTCATAGATGTTTAGCCCCAGTGCGTCCACCCCTAACCACAGCTCTGAGCCTTTCTTGTTCTTGATGTTGAAATAGTTGACCCCATACATCTCCAGATCCTGTGCTATCTTCAGGTACTCTAACATTGCATCTTCTCTGTGTGGAAGAAAGTATCATTATGAACAAAACACCAGAATGCAAAAAAAGTGTATTCAAACCTTTTGTTTTGTTTTGGTTTTTTTGCAGTAAAACTGTAGTACCTGAGTATCCCTTTATGCTCTTTATGCCACACCTGGATTCTTTCCTCCCACTGACTCTTGTTCAGCTTGTGCTGCTCCAAAACCCTGGTTCAGTCAGTAGAGTAGGTACGCCAGTTAGAGTTAAGGTCGCAGAAACTCGAAATTAAGGTGAACTCTGGCTAATGCTAATATTCACAGGATGTACTACCTCTGTGGCAACAGCTTCTCTTTTGCGAGATATCCCGGTACATGATAATCGTCCCTGTAGTCTCCGAGCTTGACCTGAACAGCGTATGAGGCCAAGAGCACCGCAGTCTCAGGTGGACAGTATATATCATCATTTAAGATGCTCTCCTTTACCTAAAATAGAGAACAAAAACTCACGAATAACCCATTTTATAGTAGGACAAGGATTGCAGTATTAATGTGTAAATACACAGAGAGAAACCCTGTGTATTCTTGTCTTTAACTAGTGCACCCGAATGCACACTTTCCAAGGCAAGCACTCTCTTATGGAAACAATGCAAAACCTGCTGTTTCTTTTTACTGAAATTTGTATTATTCCTATTGTTGTTGTTTTTTTTTATCTAAATGCAAATGTTTCTTATGTTTCAGTAAATTTGCCATTTGCAATAAACTGACAGGTGTGAGTCGTCTTAATGGAAAAAACAAATGGTTCCACATGAATTAGAATGACAAGGAATGCTTATCATTGCAATTTTTGGTGCAAATTTACATAACCTTCCTTTCAAAAGCTGGGGTTTTTGTAAATGTGCTCATCTCCAACCTGCAGAAAAAAGAGCCGCTGAGTTGCCTCTTGGATCAGCTCTTCGGCGACATCCTCGGGGTAAAACTTGGCCCTGAACTTGATCAACAAAGGGTTGTCCCGCTTCACATCTTGAGCAGTCACCTGATTTATTTGTGTTTTTTTACAAGCAGAGGGATGAATAAGTAGCTAATAATTAGCCTCACAATATGACACAGTGGAAACAATTTACATCTCGTTCACCTCACCCTCTTGTTCAGCTTGAGCCAGGTGGAGAAGCCTTTGCTGTCCTTATATTGAAGCCCAAAGAACCACGTCTCCCTCAGCCCGATTGTCTTCACTATCTAAATACATGAAGGAACACAATCAAAGTCGTGCTTTTGCAAGTCAGATGATGTCTTTGACTGTACTTGCACGGCATACCTGGTCAAAAAGCTGTTTGCCAGTTGTGCTGGGCAGGATGGCAAACTCCAGCTCTGCATCCATGGTTGTAACTCGGACATTTATCTGCCAGAGAAAAACACTCTCACTGAGATACAGGGGGAAATGCTCCCTGCTGTGCATTCATCTGCGTCACTGGAGAAGCATCAAGGAGCATGGAGAGCAACTGGGTGGAAAAAAAGAGCACTACAAAATCTGTACTAACATTGTTCGTTAAAAAAATGCTAAATTTCTTGGTTCTTTTACAGCAAAACAAAAAGAGAGTGTTCCTTACATTCTTCTGTTCAACCAGGAGCATCCAATCGCAAGAGGTTGGTGGGGACTACAATCAAAAAATGAAGCCCACAGTGTATTTTAGACTTAACTTGCAACATGTTGGGTTTTTTCCATGATGCATTAGTAGTATTTATAATGATGGGTCAAAGTAGCGACACCATATATATAGCACATATTTTTTGCAGTTGTTGATATAGACCAGGGGTGTCAAACATGTCGTTGGGGGCCAATAAAAATTCCACTCTGGTCCACTAGCTGACTTTGGAAAATGTGAAGGAGTGCATACATTTTAAAACTTAACTGTATTTTCAGACGTTTTATGTTTTTCCTCCTGATAAAGACATCCCTTATGTTACACTAAAGTAGTTAAACAACAGTTTTTTCACTATCTACTATTGAAATGTCTGTTTTTTCCAAATTTGTCGACAGTAAAAACAACATTTTCTGTGACTTAACAAAAATTTTCTGCTTTATAATTACAGCACAGTCCGGCCAATGAGCTGCTAGATGCTTTTCTGTAATTTTGCACATGTATTTCTCACAATTTAAGCACAAAGAGCTGACAAATTTCTCTCACTTACTACAGCAGCGTTTCTTTATCATGTAGCAAACAAAGATAACTCAGAGATTAAATGTGTAGTTAAACTTCTTTAGACCCACAGAAAGGGGAGTTTCACTCTTCCAGGCCAATCAAAGTGGGGTGTATGTGGCCTACAATCTAAAATGTAACTTTGACATCCCTGGTATAGATTGACTTGTAAAATAGCGAAAAAACAAAAAAACACCAATGTGGGGGGAAATTTTTTGCGCTGTTCCCCGTAAGGCTTTTTAAAGCTTTATTAAGCTTCCATTAAAACCTGATTTAATTATGACAGAAACAATAACAATGTCGCACAGCTGATAGTCTCACCGAACACACTGTTTCAGTGAATAGGCTACACATGAAAGAAAGAACAGAAAGCTCAACTTTGCAACTGTTTTGTTTGTATAGAGAAAAAACTGAAACAATAAGCTTCGATACATGCAGGAACACAAATGCAAATAATCAGAAACACCTTTTTAATATCACAGCTTGATAAGAGAAGCACTAAAAATACCTCTAAGAATCTTGTAGCTTTTACAGACGAGGTCCAATTGCCATACTTAAACCACTTATGTAGCGCAGTATAATAAAAATATAGAAAGATAATAAAAGTCAGATTACTTACAGTTGACATTTGTATTCTGTTTTAACCTATAGCCAAAACACTTCTTCAGAGAGGTGCTTGTAGTTGCCTTTTTGCTGCCGAGTCATATGAAACTGCTTGCAATACCTGCAAGGATTATACTGAATGAGAATGGGCCATTGTATTATTCCCAAGTACTTTTCATTTAGTTAATCCAGTGGCAGCCCTGGCCCACAGGTTTTAAAGTGGCAGCCTTCACCCACTGTCTACGCTTTTCTTCATGAATCATTGAGGTTTTGACCTTGTATCACTCGCAGTATCTCAATGAGGCATGATGTGCGTCTGCCAAACCTGTCTGTAGACAGATACAAATCACCAGTAACTAACCACAGGCCATTATTTCTCAGTATCAGTGAATGCGGCAGTGCATTCCTCTAATCTATTAATCCTCTCAGAAATGTTCAACGCATATGTTGTTATGGCATACAGTTTAAAAAGGGAAGAGTGTTTGTTTTTTACTTAACCTGGAAGTAAACTGCAATAACCCCCCCCCCCCCAAAAGTTATACTAAATATTCCTTGTTTATGCACTCCATAGACTCTAAGATCATAAATTTTCAAAAGTACATTTTTCTCAGCTTTACAAACACACACAACCAAGTACAGAAAGTTTGAAGAGTTAGAAACATCTAAACTTGTGAAGTGAAAAAGTTATGTTTCTGCAGTATTTAAACACCAGCAGTGTGTTTTTAAGTAATTCTATGGAACTGATCCCTCTAACCGCCTTGTGCACATTGTCAGAAGTTACTGATTTGCATCCCTTTTGCTGAAGCAGTGTTCAGATTACACTCGGGGGGATTCATCAGAGTGTACTCATCAGAGCCTTGTTAAAGAAAATGAGTTTCCAGCCGTTGTTCTTGTGGTATAACAAGAGAAGTCTGGGACTGCATACCTCCTCCAAGACTGAAAATTTCCTTCATAACATGAGTTTAGTCTCCCAGATCCAAAAGGATATCTTAATCTGGATTTGTTTGTGTTATTTCTTGAAGACATCATGATAATGTCTCCCATTTCCCCCCTTATTTCCATAACTTTTTGATAAAACCTTCTCTCAAATTAGAACAGGCAGCTCAAACTAATCACACAACCTCCTTGGCTAAGGTAAATTTGGTTGTCCTGCCAGTTTACAGCAGAAAATTTCAAAGGGAAACCATGAGCAATGTAGAGTTTGACACCTGCACAAAATCAGCAACAGTCTGACCAAAGAGTAGCACTCAGTTATTTAGGGACATGCTCCAACTTCTGGTTTGCACCTTTGTAGAAAAGGATTCATACTGCAGTGCCGTAATAAGCCCAAACACACTTCCGAGCTGTGCAAGAACTACTTGAAAGAAGACCAGAGAGTGCTGTCTTTTGTGCGCTTTTCTTCCACAGTCACCTGACCTCAACCCCATCACACTTTCATGAAGCATAACAAGCATCAACCCCGCGGGAGAGCTTGGGAAGTACAATAGAGAAATTCTTAATTTCATGAACAAGTTTTCAGAAATTACTCTCTTAATTTAAACTATTAAGCTGGTCTTATTTGTAAAAACTGTGCATGCTATGGATTCAGTACTGCAAATTAATGCTTGGAAATAGCACTTTAGACTTTGACATTTTGGCTTAGATCTGATGCCATGTTTCCCACTGCCAGTGCTACTTCGTAAGCTGGAAACTTGAGGCACAGCCATATTTATAACAGGTGGTGAACAATGACTGCATGATGATTTAGCTGAATAAGACTCTGATGAGTACATCAAATCCATCTGAACCTCAGTGAAAGGTTACAACTTAAGGAAACATGATCTGTTGCACAAAGCACTTAACACAGTCACAAGTGTATATATA